ATGTCTGAACGACACTATCTAAAGAACACGCCAAGGTAGACCATGGTGTGGACATCCCACTTGCGCATGGTTGAGTCGTTGTCCATGGTCAACCGAGTGCAGAGTATCATGGCTGGGCAGATGAGCATAGGTAATCACCATGGTCTAGGCAATGTCCATGATTAAAATCTTGGTTTCCCATGGTCAAAATCTCAATTTGACCATGACAATCATGGTTTTTTTACCCTGGGGAGTAATTTGAGGAGGGGGGGAGGGGGACTTTCTCAAAATCGAAAACGGGGCCACGACGACTTAGCCTTGGGTAAGTATAGTATACAGCTGAATTTCTGTTTGGTTTGTTGACACGTTCCTATCTGTCTCCTTCGCCAGCTGGCCGACTCCGACGTGGTGATCGACCCGTCTGTCATGGTGTGGATCCCGGTGTGGCAGACAATGCACGACCCGGAGGTGTTCCCGGAGCCCGAACGCTTCGACCCCGATCGCTTTACGGAGGAGAACAAGCAGGCACGCCACCAGTACCACTACCTGCCTTTCGGGGAGGGGCCACGCTTCTGCATTGCCGAGAGGTTCGCCATGCTGGAGATGAAGCTGTGCCTGGCCGGGCTGCTGCAGACGTACGCCTTCGACTTTGGCTCTAAGACGGACTTAAAGCTCGAACTCGCACAAGATGCAGCCGCACCCACGCCAAAGAACGGCTTTTGGCTTCGAGTGAATGACAGGCCATCGTCTACTTGAGAAATTACAGTGAAAGTGTCTAATTCCGGACCAGCAGGGCAAATCCGCAAGGTGCTTTGTTGCATTTGTACATCAAAAATACACAAAGTTGGTTCACAATATAGATAATTATCCACGAGGCTCTAGAGGTTTATGTAATTTGTAGTTTCATCATTTAGAGACACCCAGCCCAGTGCAATTTGAGTAATAGTTCCGACCAGGGCACACACAGTGAAGCGGTACTTCAATGCGTTTGCCACATAGTACCGATGCTAAGCCACGATCACTAGATGCAGCTTTAACGGTAGTATGCTGTAGTAGAAAAATGTTAATATCGTGCAAACTATCGCGTGTAATATTAATTTTATAGGATCTTACTCGATCTTTCACTTACAAATGGTCACTTAAAAATGCACCAAATTTTCAATTCACTGATGATATGACAAAGGAGCTTAAGTCCACCTCTGGGTGATTTTTACTTTTTGGGTGCGAAATGATGTGTACATGGTAACAATCATGCCAGCCAAACGGCATGTTGATATCTTGAACCGTTTGGCCTGTATGAAAAGTCACAAAGGAACGTAAGTCCATGCATGAGCTGATAAAGGGACATAAGTCCATGCATGAGCTGATAAAGGAACATAAGTCCAGGTGTAGCTTCACAAAGAAACATAAGTCCACCAGTGGGATTTGACAAAGGAACATAAGTCCAAGTCATTTTGGTCAAGAAATGGCCTCTAGCACCCAAACAGTAGGAGGTAGAGCACGACGGATGAAATTTTCACCCTAAGGGCTCTATTTTGACGAGTTACCCTTAGGCACCCGTAAAAATATTTGAAAAAAAAAATACATTTTGTGACCTGTAGTTTTCGATTTTTTTAAAAGTCAATTTTTGAGCGAGATTGTTCATCTTCGAACTTGATCTGTTTTTTTATGATACAAAACGGCCCTGAAATTCCCAGATCGCTGTCCTAATTCCTTCTTGAGTTGCCGTGCGGACTTATGTTCCCCTGTCAAATCTTGTTGGTGGACTTATGTTCCTTTGTTAAGCTACACCTGGACTTATGTTCCTTTGTCAAATCTTGTTGTTGGACTTATGTTCCTTTGTGAAACTACACCTGGACTTATGTTCCTTTGTCAAATCCCACTGGTGGACTTACGTTCCTTTGTCAGATCCCACAGGTGGACTTATGTTCCTTTGTCAAATCCCACTGTGTTGTTGGACTTATGTTCCTTTGTGAAACTACACCTGGACTTATGTTCCTTTGTCAAATCCCACTGGTGGACTTACGTTCCTTTGTCAGATCCCACAGGTGGACTTATGTTCCTTTGTCAAATCCCACTGGTGGACTAACGTTCCTTTGTCACATCCCACAGATGGACTTATGTTCCTTTGTCAGCTCATGCATGGACTTACGTTCCTTTGTCAGATCCACAAGGGGGTGTCAAAACACATAAGTCACACTAAAATGTGTTCTAATAGAGATAGAGCTACACATGTTTTGCAGAGATGTTAAGCATCCTTAAACAAAACATTCTGTGAAGGAAAAAGTAATCTAGCTTTAAAACTGTAGCAGCCAGACTAGAATTAGACACACTTTTGGCTCTCC